GAAAAAGATCGTCACTTTCGCGCGTCTGTAATTCTGCTGTCTCTGAGTTTAAACTATTAGTGTTATACATTTTCCGGAAAGCTCTTTTCAAGGGCTACACAATGGTAATATTAATATTTAGAAATATGGTAAAGATAAGGGAGTTATTAGACGCGCCGGAAAGTGACGATCGTTTTTCAAGTATGATAGCCTATTGTCCAGTAGTGTACCTTACTAGTGAGTGGCTTGTGACTCCGCTAACCGTTCGCAAAACTTATCAATTTACATGCAAACTATAGGATAACTTGTCGTAAAAGATGAAAGGCTAATGCGTGGACGAAATACCGTATTCATTTATTGTCTTTTAAAAGTAAAAAATTTGACAAAATTTCAGAGAATTCCAGAGAAAAAGCGTGTATTTAAGTGAAATGCTATCTCTTTTTTGATATGATTTCGTATTTTACCGCGAATTTCGACGGAAAGTTGGCTTCGTTTTGCTTTGCTAATTAGGAAATTTCATTAGTTAGGTAATTCCCAAAAGAATTAGGCACATTCTTGACACGATTTGAGCAGCCAATCGCCAAATTTCCACGATAACTGGAATTGAGATCACATTCAAAAGCACACCCTTGCCCCCTCAAACTGACTTACATCAAAACAAACCCTAGGCCCATTTGACGCCGTTTTTTCTGGAAACGAACTTTTGGAAAACCTTTAAAGTTTGAAAGTTTTTAAAGCTTTTGAACTTTTCCAAAGCTTTTCTTTTCCTTTTTTTGTCCAGCTCTTCGCCACTCCCTGGAAACAGGGAGTGCCCAGAGTGCACCACGAGGAGGTGGCTGGACTTCGCACTCCGCCACCCCGTAGTCCAAAGACTCTTGGGATCCGAGGTCCACGTCTGGTCCTTGGCGATGGCACCGACTCCCGCAGCAAGAATGCTTAGCTTGCTAAGGTGCGCGCAGCATAAGTAGGAGAATGCTCCGAAGTTACACTTTGTTGATGCTAAAAGGGATTGATCTGATCCCCAGTCGGTTTAAGAACCTCACGGTTCCTCCAATGGGGTGTCCAAACTCCCGCCATCTAGACGACTGTCGAGTAGCGGACAGCTGACGGAAGCCGGAGCCCAAAGGGAGCATAATTGTAATCCGGTTACGAGCAACAGACCATTCTGCCTTCCTCCACGGGTGGCAGTGCGAAATAGTAGCGATTCCACGATCTTCAGCGGTCTCCCTCACGGGAGACTTTTCCACACATCCTTTCGGTCAACCTTTCGGTTTTTTGCTGCTCGGGGCTATTCGACCCGGGCCAGCCCATCGCTCCGGGCGCCGCCTTCCACGAATGGGTTAGGCACCGACCAAGCGAGAAGCAAGCTTCTACAAACTCTGTCTCCAAACATTGTTTATACTCGTGAAACTCGATGGACCAGTGCGAGTGGACGAAAGGGGAGAAAAAGGCTCGCTATGTGTAAAGGCCCTGTGCCAGAAAATGTGCGGTTGTGCGCGCGCATAAAGAACACCCGCTCAATAAGCCTTTAGTTTTTTTGGCTGTTTCTCAGCCATACTTTGATGGAGCTCATTTTTATGTCAAAAAACCAAGTCTTCGGACTACAGGGTGGCGGAGTGCGAAGTTCAGCCACGAGTTCCCCTTTGCTACTCCCTGGAAACCGGGAGTAGCAAAGAGCCGGTCAAAACAGAGAAAGAACTTTTGGAAAAGTTCGAAAACTTTTAAAGACTTAAAGTCTTTGAAAAAGTTCCCGGGGTTTTTTTGGGGTCAGTGAATCAATTGGCTTCATCAAGCTGATCCATTTTGTTCGATCTTTCAAATGAACCAAGTTTTCCGAGCCGGATCATAAACTGGAAAAAAATGGCCGAATCCAGATCTAATGATCCGCTCACCCCTGGTCACTTCTTTGAGGTTTTACAAAAGAAAGCAACGTTTTTTTAACTAGCATACGGCAGTTTGTATAAAAGGATCTATACAGGGTTTACTGGGTTTTATTTACTTTTAAACCGATACTCGGAATAGACGCTGATGCTTCATTTCATTTTTACTCGTTGAACTTAAACTTTTCCCTTTCTTTAAACACCAAATTATTTATGAACTTTTTCTGTGCAGGGCAAAACATATCTAGATATAATTTACGATATTTAATTAAAATCAACCCGTTCGGCGAAGACGATAGCGATTTTGAGGGAACACGCTCATCGATCGGAATATTCCGATACGTTTTTGAATAATCTAGATAAATGTTTGTCTTATCTATTTATGTAAATGCTAATTTATAATAGATATGCAGATCTTAGATAGATTTGATCATTATTGATCAAGTTGAGAGATTTTGGAACGACTTTGGAACGATTTTGGAACGACTGGAAGAGATTTTGGAAGTAGGGTTTACAGGGGAAATCAAACTCGAATTCCCCATATCGAAAAGTGTCTAAAAACAATTCTACGAGGGATTTAAAGTCAAAAAAAAACTGTCCAGTTTTATTTGGAACGTAACGAAGAATGAAAATTTTTTCAGATTAGAACCATCCTTCAATGAGAAATGCGTTGAAATCATTGTTTTTAGATTTTGATTTTTGTACAAGAACAAGAAAAACATTAAAACTAACAGCTTCAATCGATTCCCCCAATCCCGAAAAGCCGCCCAGGTACAATTTTCTGTCCAAAAAATTTGAAGTTTTTGAACTTTAAAATTCAAAAAAGAAGATAGCTGTGTGTTCCCTGTGAAGAAGCACAATCGCGCTCGATCTGGCATATCATGCCGGCTCATATACTCCCTGTTCAATTCTCGAGTCGGAAGCGTCCATCTTGGGTCATCCGGTAACCAATCCGTTGTCTGCCCCATGTGGTCACCGCTTCCCAAAACTAACCTCGGCTGTAGGGCTGGTCAACCCAGCTCCGGCTCATTTTGACCATTGGGCGGGTTCTCCGTCGGTCGAAATGTGATCCCAAGTGCCTGTAAAAGGGTGCTGAAGGGGGCCGCTGTGAATTTTTGGATTCATCCCAAGGATTTCGGTCCGTAGGGGCAGCAAGAAACTCATGAAACAAAACGATTAAACGGGCTCAAGCATTGGAAAATACTAGAGATGATGTCGGCCTAAAATCGCCGTTTGTGCCCTGAAATGGCTTAAAATGAAGCTTTTTCGAAAAACAGAAGCTCTTGAAGCTTAGTGACTGGAAGGTAATTCTTATATTAGTTTGGAAAGAAAGTTCTAGGAAAAAGTTTGCACGGTGATTTCTCAAAAGCCAAGCCATGAGTTCTTCCCAAATTTTTTGATAAACTTGACTATATTCCAAAAAGTTTTTAACAAAAAAAATTGGAGTTTGCTTCAGGTAAAAAAAAAAGAGATTTCTTGAGCTGAAATGACTTGGTCACTTTTTGAGTGACCAGCCTTTAGACAAGTTTTTAATGGGTTAATGAATAGACAATGGGTCCCATTCAAAACCTAAAATCAAGTACTTAAAATAGGGAAAATTTTGTGATTAAGCAAATTCGATCTAATGCTTTAACTTTTCAGAATCACTTATTTCAGCAAAAACCCCGCAGTGCCGAGAAGATGACGCCAAAAAAAAACTATTTTTGAAATACAGCTTCTCTGTAAAAAATGTTTGGTCAAAAATCGAGTTTATAGAGCGTATTGCTTATTTATGCTAGCTTTTCCTCATAAAGAATCGTTTTTCTGGTGCCGAGTGAGCTGAGAATTTAAGCTCGAAAATAATGATTTTTCAAAATCTCTAAAATTTTAAGGGAAAGCTGCACTCATTTTTTTACGAGTAATTTTTTGGAGTCGGCTTGTAAATAATAGAATAAAATGTTCTTCAATTGGTGGATTCGTTTTTAAGAAATTCCAGTCAAACTTTTTCCGAGAACTTTCTTTCCAATCCAATAATAGATTTAGTTAGCTGAAACGATGTTCAACCTAAGAACTTCAACCCTAAGAAGACGGCGATTTTGAGGGAAACGCAACTCATCGATCGGCACATTGCAGTACGTTTTTGAATAAAATCCAGATAATAGTTAGCTTATCTAGATATATAAATGCGACTTTATAATAGATGTGCAAATTTCAGATGGATTTGATGGTTGTCGATCGAGTTTGAGTTAAGAAAACACCCCTTCTGGAACGACTGTCCAATGAAATGAGCAATACCATCGAATTCCCCATATCGAAAAACCATATATTCCAAATTTCCAACAAAATTGCTTCAATTTTTGACAATTCTCGTAACATTTTCCCGTTCCTTGGGTAATTAAACTGGGCAGCGGCAGGAGGACGAGCCTTGTGCCAGAAAGTGCGGTTTACGGGGAAGCCCAAAGAACACGAATCTTTGAACCGGGCGACGGCGGGAGGACGAGCTTTGTGCCAGAAAGTGCGCGTTTACGGGGAAGCACAAAGAACACGAATCTTTAAACCGGGCAACGGCGGGGCGACGAGCCTTGTGCCAGAAAGTGCGCGTTTACGGGAAGCACAAAGAACACCGCCTTGTGAGCACGAATCTTTGAAGAAATCAAACTCAAAATCAATCAATCAATCAAACAAATCACTATAATATCTTTTATTGAATTTCTAATATAATAAATGATCCTTGAAGTTTGAAAATGGATTGTTAGATCTAGAAATGATCTCTGGAACGTCTAGATTCGAAAATTATTGAAGTTCCATCAACTTTTAGGGAAGTTCCATCAACTTTTAGTGAAGTTCCATCAACTAAGTATTTTATTTATTATAAGACGCAAAGTTTGTCAGGTACAAATCTCAAGTTTATAAATGAATGTCAACAGATTATTTCAGGGGTATTTCAGGAATTTGGTCTCTCAGATCATCCAGCAGTCTTGACACTTCCATTTAATCGATTCCACCTAGCAGCTAAAGGATAATCGTAAATTGAGAAGATAAAATGAACACAAAACTTCATTTCATACCTCATTTATCACAAGAATTTCGGGAGCAAGGCAAAGAAAAAAAAGGAAAAGTTATGACCGAGAAGACAGTGGGGCAAATGGGAGAACATATTTTATGTGTTTGTTCGAAGACATGAAAATTGAGAAAGAAGAAAAACGATGTGAGATAAGGTGTGATGTTTCCGCTTCTTGTTCTACACGCACCCCACCCATTTCTCCATATTCTCCCTCTTTTTATTAAACCCATCAAGAATTGATTCACTCTCAAATCAGTTACTGATTTTTTTCTTTTTTTGAATCAATACTTGGTTGCATATTTTCTAGAAGTTAAAAGATTTCTCAAAACTCGAATTCAATCTCAAATAGTTTCAGTTAGACGATAAATCAAAACAAAATGCTCAAACTCTTGGCCTTATTGGGATTTTTGCCTTAACGATCTCGGACACTGGGAATCAACTGATTTTGGGATATGGATGCGATGAAATAATTTGTCAATTCTCGATTGATGTCGATGAGGTTTGGAATGAAAAATCACATAAAGCAAAGTTGAGAGATCTTAGAGAAAGGTCAAAGTTTTCTTGCTTAAAAGATTTTGAGAGAAGCAGAAACAAGAATGAGATTAGAGTAATACGATTAATACGTTTTCTCGCGATTAATACGTTTTCTCGCGATTAATACGTTTTCTAAAACACCCGAGAAGTACCGTAACCCCATCAAGAAAAAAAAATGCAAAACTAGCGAATAAAACAAGACAAAATTTCTAAAATATAGAAAATGAGCGTGAAATTTTGCCATGATCTTTAAAACCGTAACTACCGTACCGTAAATACTCTAATAGAACGCCATAATGACGAGCGTACAGTCGTGTAGTCTAACTTTGAAAGTCTCGTGCTCTGCGGTGCTTTATGCGCTTGGGTGTTAAATAATAGTCCTTAAAATCTAGTATTTTTTTAGTCCCGGGAACAATCTAGAAGCTGAGAAAAAAATGATTTTCTAAAAAGAAGTTAGGCTAAACGACTGTATGAGGGGAGTGACGTTCTATTAGCTTTATTAGTTCTATTAGCGTTCTATTAGATTTACCGTAACTAAATAGCTGGCCAATACGAGGGCGCTTTTTAAAAAAAACGCATTAATCGATTCAAATTTTAATCGTTCAACTTTAATCGATCAATTAATTGATTGATCAATTAATTGATCAATTAATTAATTGACACACTCGAAATTAAACCTTCATTAAATTAAAACTAAAAATGAAACTTCCATTCAGGCTTGGGTTACGTATTCGGTTAGGCTTCGGCGATTTTTAGCCCAATTTTGATAGAACTAGGTAGAATTGGGCTAAAATAACTTCAAAAATCTCTGAGAAAACATGGGACAATCAGCGGCAAGCAAGGCATTCAAGTTTGAAAAGAAGAAGTTTTTTTTGCTTTTTCTTCGCCTCTCTTCTCATACAAAACAAATGAAAGTATGATTAATCCTTTTCTGTCACTGAAATCAAACAGATTGTTGACAGAGATTTTAGAAAATGGTGAACTATGTGGACACTGATGCTTTCATGTCGCGATTCGCTGCCATTGCCACCACACAGCACGCAATCGATAACCTCGAAAAGAATATTGGAGACCTGGCTGAAGGTTTCAGAAATGTATGTGCTTTCAAAATCTATAAACAACATAACATAAGAAAGATCTATAAAACAATTTGTTTCAGAATTTCACCGTAATCTACGAGGATATCAAGCCAAATTTTGATGACTTTGTGGAGAAGATGACAAATTTCACGACATTCCTTGATGACACCGATAAAAAGTCGACGAAATTGAACACAGATGTGTGTAGATTTTTTTTTTGAGAAAATCAAATTCCCCCTAAATAAGACATTCTAAAACATGCGAGCTTTGCAAAGTGACCGCAACTTTGCCTCTTTTTAGAAAATTGTTTAAGAGAGGAACACATCGCACAATTGAGCTGTAAATTTAACCAGAACCGACTTGAAATCAATTTCTTATACTCAACGAAATCTATTTGTTAATTTCTTTTATATTATAGGCAACTCAAGCGGCCATCGACGCTGAATGTTTCTACCGAAACCGCACTCAACCATGGGTGTGCAATGGAAAAGGATTTGAGTAAAAAAAAACAAAGTAAAACTGTGAATCTACGTAAAATCATTTCCCTTTTCCATAAAACAATCAAAATTTTCCTGAATAAATCATTTTTCTACGAGTTTTACTGAACTAAAACCATCACTGGCTTGTTTGCACAAAATTAGCATCTTGATTGAAAGAAACGTGGTCAAATAGGTTTCAAATCGGAACAAATAGACGAACAAAGAAAATGATCGATTGCATTCAATTTTCACCCTAAACGCATGGCAAACATGTGTCAGAAATGTAAAATAGTAAAGAAAACAAAAAGTAAAAGCTTGAAAAGTTGTAATTGTCATTTTTGAGACCAAGAAACAAAATATCTGCCATTTGAAAGCTTTACTTTAAGCCTTGCAGTCCTTTAGGAGCTTTTTCTGAATCCAAAATGTTTCGGTACAGCTTTTAAATTTGAGTTTTTAAAGCCTAAACCATAAGGGCTCTTATGGGTTATTAGAGATTTTGCTTGCAGATACAACAAAACAAATCCCTCCAATCGGCTTTTCCGTAACTTTTCGGTTTAGCTGGTTGTATCCGAAGGGGGTGCACCATTTTGGTGTTTATCGTGCCGTCGCCCATTTGGCGCAAAACTTCGCGATGTGTGGGGGTGCTGGCCGCTTTGGTCTTCACCCTGTCGACGCTCTTTCCGCGCAAAACCACACGGAACAGGACCCGTGAAATGCCAACTGGCCATGCCCTTGGTAAACACACATCTATGTTCAATTTCGTCGAGTTTTTATAGGCGTCGTTATAGGGATGTGGTGAAATTTTTCATCTTCTCCACAAAGACATCAAAATCCGGCTTCATATCCTCGTAGGTTACGGTGAAATTCTGAAACAAATTGTTTTATAGATCTTTCTTTTCGTTTATATGTTATAGACTTTGAAACCACATACCCCGCTGAAATCTGCCCCTCCACCATTAGGCCCCGGGAGAAAAATCCCCCCACACTAGGCTAGACCCACTCACAGCTCCCTGGGCCGGCCATTAGGGCCATTAGGCCATTAGGGAGGACGCTGCTCAACATCCAGCCACCTCCGCGTCGTGAGCAGTGGGCATGCCCTGAAAGTAGGGGATGGCTAAGAGCTGGACTAGGTAAGGGGGGGTATAACCCATAAGTAGTACCGACTCTAATGAACATTTCTAGAAGTAAATCACTCGGATCGGTAATTTGCAGCCTTTCCAAGAAGCCCTTCTCTGCATTCGAGGCAAAGCGCCCATGGGACAAACACAGTTTCGCATGTTTTCGAATAAAAAGTTTTTCAAGAAGTTTTCATTTTGACGAGAGATTTTATTCTTTTAAAATAACAGTTGAACTGTTAATTTTTTAAAAAATGTCAAGTTAAAAAGGCTTTTTGAAGGATTTTTCAATTGAAAATAGGTTCAAATAGGTGAGCGCGATGACAGTTTGCCTCCAGCGCACCACAATGCTTCTTTGGAAAGCTAGGTGGCTCTGATCAGGATGGTTGAGGTGTAGAAATGATTGGAATTTCAGCTAAATCCGATCTAGTAAGTCGAATTTCGATCTGGGTTTTAGCTGAGAAATTGAGGTTCTTTTGTAAAGTGTGCGGGAAGTTTTTGATCACCCTGTAAATTCTGGGGTTTTACTTTTGCGTATTCTTGTCGAAAGTCGAAAGAAAGAGATTTACCTCATTAGTTTCGGGAGTTTATTTCCTCTTCACTATATTTTAGTTTACAAAAAGTACTTCGTTATTTTAAAGAAAAACACATTTCGGTCAGTTGATCCGAAGAGTGAAAAACTTAATTCTCGAGAGCGAAGTCGTTGGTCGATTTAACGATGAGGAAGAGGAATTGTGCTTTGTGGGTTTCTCTCGCAAATTTCAAGGACTAAATTGTCGTTTGACACTAGGAAAAGAATAAAGAAAGTCGAGTTGTGAAGAGGAATCATTCAAAGAATGAGTCGTCCTCAAAGAAATGCACAAATTTTCGGATTAGTTGGCCGGCTTCGAGTTTGACCTTTACACATTTTGGATAAAACTCTCTGGTTACTCACTCTGAAAAAGTACACTCTGTTTGAATAAAAGTTGAGTCAAAGATTTCATAGAGAAACTTTTTCTTGTTCTAAGTCTCATGTGAAATTCAGTGATCGATTTTGGCAATTTGACGATTTGCCATTTGTTTTTCTCCTATCTAAAATCTCCTTGAGCTTGAGCGCTCAAGTGAAGCTATTCTTGGTGTTGCTTTCGCAAAATCTGATGTCAACATTTAAAAGATACATTTCTGATTGAAAATTCAACAATATATTGTTAAATATGACAATAACACAAGTGAAACAATGCCTTCTTAGCACTGTAGATGATGAGAGATTAGATCTATCATTCTTTGGTCCATATGCAAGATTTGATTAGCTTTGATTAGCTTTGATTAGCTTTGATTAGCTTTCATTAGCTTTCATTAGCTTTCATTAGCTTTCATTTGATCTATCATTCTTTGGTCCGTATGCTTGCAAGATTTCATTAGCTTTAATAATAATAATAATGTATTTGTTTTTCCTTCAACAGTACGGTAACACGGAAAACCTAAAAAAAACTCGTTTCACTCGGAACTTGGGAGTTGTCTGTCTGTGAGTGAGGCGATAGACTTCAATTTGTTTCTCCTTCATTTACTCAATGACCGCAATTGAAATCACTGGAGAGGAAAGAAAAATCATGACGTCATCAATGAAATGCTTCAAGGGTTTCATCGAAGTGAAATGGCTCATTTGCCATTTTTGTCGCCCTCGTCCGCCCATTGTTCCAAAGAGTTTTGAGAAAAGGGAAAAGGGTGGAGATGACCTTGTCTCGTCAAAATCAGGTAAAGAAAGATAGAAGGGTGATCTCTCATACATCAGCCAGCAGATACTGGATTTTAGTCTAATGCTTGCAGACAGGATTTCGCGAGTTTCAGATGAGACTTTCTTGCTTGTTTTACCCCTAACCTTCTAGCCAAAACTTAGCTTCTAGCCAAAACTTAGCTTCTAGCCAAAGCTTAGCTTCTAGACAAAGCTTAGCTTCTAGACAAAGCTTAGCTTCTAGACAAAGCTTAGCTTCTAGACAAAGCTTAGCTTCTAGACAAAGCTTAGCTTCTAGACAAAGCTTAGCTTCTAGACAAAGCTTAGCTGCTAGCCAAAGCTATGCCTAACCCTTGCCACCTTTAAACGAATAACTGATATTCTTATATTCTTTCATTTTTCCTTTTCAAGAAGACCGGTTTTTCTTTTTCTTTCTTTATCTATCCACCTTTCTCTTCTCATTCTCACTTTTTTTCAATTCCTCCACTTTTTCCAAAAATCATCGTTATTCTGTTGTTTTTACACCTCTTGGTCACGATAATTCTGCTGATATAATCTTTACATCTTTGAGCAGTTCATTGTGCAATTACGCATTGCACAAGCTGATTGATTGATTGTGTGCTTGTCTAATGATCTTTCAAGTAATGCTTGTAAATTAGCAATGCTTTCAAGGAATTCTTGTGTTTTTTTTTGAATCCGAACTTTCTGTTTTCAGTCTTTTCCAAACAGTAAACCTTTTTGAAAAGCATAAATTGAGATTTGGGGAATAGATTGAAAAGAGAAGAAATCCATCACAAAGATCGCTTCCAAAACCGACTCTCAACTCAGCGAAAAGAGTCCTAAAGTCTTTTATGATCTCACTCAATTGTACACTCAAGTAAAGCCTAGATTCTGGTTTATTTTCAAAACTAATAGTTGATACAGATTCTGATACAAATCTATTTAATAATACGGTGAACTGACTGAACTTTTACCTTTACATAACATCTCAAAGATTCAAGACCGTTAAGTTTTACACTTTTTATGATCTTTGTTGTATGTACAACTTTTCAACACTAGATTTTAATCAGAAAAGAAAAGAGCGAGTTGAAAGTTCATCGTCCTTTTCTCCAATGATTGAAGCTTACACTTTTTGGAGAGAAAAAGAAGCGGCGAGTACAGTTATTCTCTTTTTTTTTCTCACTTTTCAAATGATTTCGATCCAATTAGACGATCCGAGAGGAATGCAAGCATTTTCTTCTTTTCTTTTACCTTATATAGTTGGCCAAAGTTTGACCTCATCTTTGCTATTTGATTGAAATTTTTGCGGCTTTTATTTCTGTTTATTTCTGGCATTGAGCTGTGCATTTTGATCTAGAGCTTGTCTTTTTCAAGCACAAAACTTCTTTACAAACATTATAGACTTGTGCCAAAGGTACTTTTGAAATTTCAAGCTGATACAAAGCTTGTGAAAGTCGAGAGAGAGACTTTCATCCTTTTTCTTTGCTCATTTCATGGTCCATTTCCGATGCTCGTTTTTTTTTTTGTTCCCATCAGCTTTTCTTCTCTTTTCAAAGTCGTGATTTCGGATCCATTCAATTCATTCACATACGCATCCATTGCCAAGGAAAAAGCTGCTTTCCTTCAGAGCTATTCAATCGTTTCGATCTTTCCTCTTTTCCCTTCAGATCAACTTCCTCCTTTTTCCTGCTTTGTCCGTTTTTAAACGGTGATAAATTCTAGATCTGTTCGCTCGAAATTTCGATTCTCGAGACTAGAATCAAGTTTTTAAGCACATGTACAATATGTGCAAAGTTCTCAAGTTTATCCACTTTGTTTTAGACAAATGCAAATTCTAGCAACCATTCCAGTGTTTTACGCTCCATTTCTCTTCATTTATTTTTTTTCCAAATGACCTTTTCTCCCTCCGATCGTATCTATGCCTAATTTTTGTTTTCGTCTTTCTTTTCGGGGTGAAAGTCAAGCATAATCTGGTTCTCGATATGAATCATCACAAAAAAAAAGTGTCAACTTCAATCAACAAATGGTTTGCGTAAAGAAAGGCAATAGCTTTAAGCGGTTATGAGATCGAATGGTTTCATTTTACGCAAAACCATAGCTTCAGCAAGCGATCCGAGTTAGCTTTAGGTTATTCAGAAAGTCTTTTCGTTTCTTTCTGTAGTTCCGTTTAAAATTAAGAAATACATTAATTGAACTACTCGAATTGATCTCGAATTTGCTTGAAAGTGAACCGAAATTGACTTAAAAAGATTGGGAAATTAAAGAATAAACACTTTTATTTAGAGAAAACTATAGGTTATTTGATGAATCTGTTATTTTTCAATGGAAATACGAACGAAAAGACTTTCTGGACAACCTAATAAAGATCGTTATTTAATATAGCTTCTTTCTAAAGTTATTCAATCCGTTACTCAAGTTACTCAATCCAAACTTTGAATTTCTATCAAAATTCACAATCTCAAATAAAAGCCACACGTGCAGATGAGCAATCCCTAAAAAGTGATGTGTGAAGGGAAAAGGGAATCAAAATGAACACGATCCAGTTCAAGAATAGAAAAGATGTGATGGGGAGGATTGGATCCCCCATTGGATCCCCTTGTCAGGTACTCCTCTCTCTCTCTCTTTTGTATTTCCCGTGTCTTCCATGTGTTAGTGTTCCCTCTTGTTAGCCTGTTGCAGGTGAAATGAACCAAAAAAATCTTTCTTTTGATGTTTTTAACTCTTTGGCGAACGTTTCTCCATGTCTAATTCAGAAAAAAGCCTCCATTAGCCCTCATTTGAAACCGTTGAAACCGTGAAACTTTTTTCTTCGAAAAACTAGGAAAATATATGGGAAGACTTTGTCGAACGGCTTCTTATAGTCTTGAGATCTCATTCTTGGATAATACGGTGGTATCTAGATTTCTAGACCTGTGTATTCTTATTCGTGTCTTACTTGGCAAAGTTACTGGAAAGTGATATTATACGATAGTCCAGGTTCTGAATATCATAGCTGTTGCCCGATTCGATAACCAGTCTGAACAACGCTTACTTGTAAAATAAAACACTTTAGGACACTTAAAATGGTTTTATGTAACTTAACATAAAAGGCTTGACAGTGGGGGGGAATCGAACCAAGATAGAAAGGCGCGAGACGCCAGCACAATATTCGCTAGGCCATTCAATCGGCGCTATACCTCGGCGGCCTCGTTTTTCTTCAAAAGCGATTAGTTCCGTAAAATTAAAAACAAGTGTCTTTTAAAATTTTGAGAGACCGTTTTTGAGCGCTGAGCTTTAAGCTTTTTGAGTTTTTGAGCATTTCCCAAATCGATAGCGAGTTAAAAGAGTTCCCTAGTGAGCACAGTTTACTTCTGAAATGGATACTTTCCTATTCTTTGTGTGTCATTCTTGACTTCTATAAGAGTGTGACAACTCACCTTGTACCTTGCTTGTCATCTTCGATCCAAGCTACAAGCTTTCAGCTGAAAGTTCTCATCTCTAAACTTTTCATTTCATTTTTCATCGCCAAGAAATTGAAAATTGAATCTTATTTTGATTTTCAATTTTCAATTTTCAGCTTTACCAATCCTTTGTTATTTTAGGATTGAATTTTGGAAAAAGAGATAAGAAATGAAAACTTAAAAGAAATAAAATGAAATGAAATGAGCCTTATTCAAAGGCTTGGCTTTTAAAATAGTCAAGCCTTTGAATTTATTAATATAGAAGTATTCTTTCTACATCATTCTCAAACAAACAACTTGAGTTGCTTTCTCAGCAATTTTGTGTTGATAATGGATCGGAGAGTCAGTCTGAAGCAACAGCAAGAGTTACAGATCACTCATTCACAATACACGAGACTTTCCCTCAATCGAAAACTATTCAATAGTCGACTATTGATGTGTGGAGGGAAAAAATGGAAAGTAGGTATGATTCTCGAGAAGAAAAAAGACTTTTCACTCTTTTCTTTCAGCAGACCTGTCAGTCGTTTTTGATCTGAAAACTGAATCGATTTGAGACTTTTTTGAATAGATCAAAAGAAATTGAGCGTTTCATTTAACAAGATTTCAAGATTCAAAAGCTTTTTTATTGTTTTCAATTGCTTGTTTTATCGTTTGCTTATTGAACTTTTTAATTATTGTCTCTCGTTTCTACTTTTTTTTCACATCACAATTTGCACAAATCATTCAGAATAACAATCAATCAATCAATCAATCAATCGACCGATTTGAGACAACAACTTTATTCTTCTGTCAATTCTCTATAAATTGATCTCTTTTTTTATTTGAAAAGAAGAAAACTTCACTAAAGTGACGGATTTTTCGATGAAATCGGGGAAATCCCCGTCGGAATGGGCTCAAACCCTGAAGGGATCGTTTGAGAAAGGACAAGTCAGTTAAAGATAAAGATAACTAAGGAAAAATAAAAAAAACATTAACATTAATCGGAATGGGCTCAAACCCTGAAGGGATCGTTTGAGAAAGGACAAGTCAGTTAAAGATAAAGATAACTAAAGGAAAAATAAAAAAACATTATTAATATACCAGTATTAACATTAATATATCAATGAATTCGTTTCCAGGAGCATTTCTTCCGATGGCTCGGCGCTGTCATCGGTCGATCTCCATTTATCATTCTTTTCCTCTCTTTTCTAGTCACGGGTAATTGACTAAAAGCTAAAAATAGACTAATACCCAATTTAGGTCTTTTATCTTCGGGTTTATTTTATTTTGAAGAAACGTCAAACGTTCGCGAGGCTTATTCTCCACAAGATTCTCCATCAAGAAAAGAATATGAGGTGTCCAGAAAATTCTTGAATCAGGTAAATCAGTAATTCATCTTTTTCTAAGCGCCCATCATTTCTTAAAATGCCTGGTTAGTGTCAAAATATAGCTAAGATTTGGGGCTATCGTTTGATATCTAAGCGCACATTGTCGCTTGAAACAGCGCTGAGAACGAGGCGCTTAAAGTTAGACTACGTGATGCTTCGGCCGTCCGCTACCTTAACTTGCAACCCAGTTAGTAGACGTTACAATAGCCCATAAAGTCTCTACCGTAATCAGAAAGATTGCTGTAAAATCAACTTGAGATGGAAAGCCTAAAAAAGAACGATGAAGCCTATAGTTCTTCATCAGGCAACTTTAGAATGGTACTCTTGATCCATCGTACATCATGATTGAAGCTCGAGATCACGATAATTTACTCAAGGTACTCAAACTTTCTTCATAGTTTTCCAAGTATCTTTAGCCCGAATACAGAGAAAGATTACAAGAGCTGGTCAAAGTTCTCCAAAATAATGTCTCGATTGAATATCATGGAGCCGAATGGTGAGTGATCTTAGAGCTTTTGTTTCACTTTAGATACCCGTATTGTTGTAAATTCTCTATTTTTTTCAAATCCCAGGTTTTATCGAGATCTTTGTGAGCCGTATTGTGAGCTGAACACGGCATTGTTGGCTTTTCTCAGGCTTTACGATCCGTCGAATCCATCCACGTACACCTATCCTAATATCGAGATTTTCGGGAGTCAAGCGTTTATTGGTGAAGATTTTGAATTGAAATTCATCACAAGAGCATTGGAAGTTATAGTTTTTAAAAATTTGACTCAAAAAAAGCTTCAATAGATTTGTGAAGAAAGCGGATTAAGCTCAAATCTCAAAGCTCAAACAGCTTTGAGAAGTGGGTGATGAGATTGAAAAATCATTGAGTCAAACTACAAGGTCAACGGTTTATTCTCTCTTACATTTTCAGAACACTTTAAGAGTTTGCAATAAGCAATAAGTTAAAGAAGTTTTGCAAAAGTTCAAAGCAAAATTCCAGGCAATAATGTCTACAATTTGAAATTGAGCGATTCGGGCTTGATCGAGTCATTCTCAACAGCTATTCTCCCATTCTATCTCGTTTCGCATCATGAGGATGAAAAAGTCAGTACTCAACTATAAAATAAGCTATAAAATATAGTTGAAAATTATCTAAACCTTAAATCCTAAGTACATTAGCAATATTTGCATTTCAGGTCATCTACAATTGGCTCATTGAGGCGAGGAAAGCCTTTGAACAGCCACAATTCGCTATATTTGAGGTAAGCTGATAGAATTAAGATCAAATTAATGATGAAAAATGGAAAATTTTAGTGTGGAATCACTGGAGATTTACTAATTTCGGCTGAGGTTCGGCGAATGGGGCTCGAAACAGCTCCACTCATCGTCGGATCGGTGGCAGCAATGATCGCCTTCGTTGTCGCGAGCAGTTTCAGGTAAGCTTGTAAATCTTTAAACTGTTAAGAATGGCGGAAAATGCTGCAACAACTACTTTTTTTGTTCTTCAGTTAAATACCTTTTTGTGCTTTCTCGTACGATTTCAAAATGTAAGTGTGACGTGGTCAGTGGCGGGTAACCTCGGGAAAAAACCCCATTCATTTTCCAGCCATTCTTCCTCATTTTCAGAGGTGTATACGAGAAAAAAAGGCGAGTCTCTTTCTTGTGAGGTGATAGGTCTCTCTTTCTTTCTCTTTCTTTATCTTTCTTTCTTTCTCTTTCTTCCTCTTTCCCCCATCTCCTTCTCATTTCTCTTTTCTTCATCAAAAACTGATCGGTGCTCCCATTCACCGTCTCCTTTCTCCTCTTTTCTTCTTCTCTTCATACACAATGGCAGCCAAAAGCCACCACCAAAAATGGGCAAAAGGGTGTTAAAATTTTATTGGTTTTTCCGGGTAGAGAAATTTTTCCTAAAGTTTGAAGACTGAAAGAAAAGTGACAAAATGATTTCAAATTTGCTGGGTTTTCAATAAACAGAACTGCAGAATCGGAAATAAATAAAGCTTTTGATATTAAAAAGAAAGAGTTTCCATTGAAATTTAAACTTTTAATGTTTACAGAAGAGATCCATCTCGATCGAAGCCATGGGAATCATTGTGCGGCTGTTTGATCCCGTTGCTCTCTCTACTCGCCGCCGCTGGAATCATGTGCTTCTTTGAGATGAAAGTAAGCATTTCAGATCCTAATCAACCAATTCAATGATGAAAAAGAGCGAATAAAAGAGTAGGAATTTTAGAGTAAGGTAAGTAATAGGAAAGAGTCAAATTTCCCTGCCAAAAGCGCAACCCAATTACCTATTGCCTATTCAGTTCCAATCGATCATGGTCGCCTCTCTATTTCTCGTGCTCTCTGTTGGTGTTGATGATGTGTTCATTATATTACGGTACATTATCATCAAAGAATATCTAAAAACAAAACATGTAGAGCCTGGGATCGCACGTCAATAGATGATCCAATTCCTGATCGTATGGCGATCACCCTGGAAGAGGCTGGCGCGAGTATTACGATCAGGTACCGAATGCAAGATCAGCCATTAATATTTAATACTTTGACTTATTATTTTAATAAAGCAATAAATATTCAGTTCAATAACGAATGTGATGGCGTTTGTGATCGGTATGACTTCATCAACTCCGGCGGTTAAAGCTTTCTCTTTGTTCAGGTAAAACCTTGAGAAGCGTTGAATGAGAAAGGAATTCAAAATCCCATTCTATAGCCGGTTTAGTGCTGTCTCGATCACTGTTTGTTATTTCTACATTCTCATCATGTTCTCTGCAGTTTTGGCCTGGTCGGGAAGGCGGGAGAAATCGGGAAAGCAGGCTGTTCTTTGTTGCTTGAAGGCAAATCGACAGGTAAGATTTTACCTACCGTAATTATCCGATCCGAATTTCTACCCTTTCTAGGCTCGTTCACAACTTGTTGAAGAAGTGGTCGCTATACAAGTTCGAGTAATTCGGTGGTGGGCAAAAACGTGTCTCACTTGGACATGCAGGTAAATAGATTGCAGTTGAAGTCTTTCTGTAATCGATCATTTTTAGAATAGTGCTGTTGATTTTGATGGCTTTGTACTACTATCTCTCGGCGGTGGGAATTCAACGAGTGGAAACGTTGATCTCACTCGAAAAGATGACTCTACCCGATTCATATGTACAGGTAGATTTTAGCTTTTTAAATACTTTTCAATCACTATCCATTTTAAAATTTTCAGAACTTTCAAAAGCACTTTGAAGACGCAATGCGAAGCATGCAACCGATTTCAGTTTTCGTTAAAAATCCCGGTGATCTTCGAGATCCGAAAAGATTGGAAAGTAATCTCGATTCTGACTCAAACACAGAAATATTTGAAATATTTAGCTGTCAAGAAAATTGTTGATGAATTCGAGACTACAGTAAACTCGTATGGGCCAAATTCGACGTTCTTTTGGATTCGACAATATGAGGATTTTTTGGAGGTTGGGTAAATTGAGTAAGACTACAAGGTGGCTCACAATTATAGCTTCATTTCAGAGGGTCTAGATTGGCCAAAATTGGGTCAATCGTTTTGATTTTTGTGGAGGTAGATCTTGAGTATGTCTCCTTTAACGTTGCCCATTATCTAATCGATTCAAGGTTTCAACTCTCTTATAGGCCTTTTCAAAGTTGAGAGCCGAGTGATGGGATTTTTGAGAGCAATCTTTTCGTTGAATGATTGACCCAATTTCGATCAATGTAGTCCCTCTAAAATGCAGCGCTATAATTGTCGATCATTCTGTTATCCGGAAAAATACAAAACTTACAGTACTACGTCGACAGCGATGATGAGGAGGGAAATGTGAAACCGAAGTTCACCTACACCGAGATCCCCACTTTCTTCCAGGTGATCTCGCAAATTTGAATTTGAAATGATCCCCAAATTTCAGTCAGCCACCTATTTCTATTTGGAAACTTTTGTCAAATTCAACTCCACCGCTTGTGATGATGATTTACCCGATTGCATCTCCGAGTTCTTCTTTATGACCAATTTCGCCGGGGTAATGAAATAAAGCTATAACATTAAAGAAAACCTTACAGGTGATCAAATATCACGAGTTGATTCCGGCAGTGAAAGCGTGGAGAGCGATCGCCGAGAAATATCCCGACTTTGGGGTTTTCCTTTCTCCGATCATTCCCCATTTGTCGATCAGGTTAGTATAACGAGATTGTTTAAAAATCATGAAGGAATCAATTTGAATTTTTAATTTATAGACAATGGTTATCGACTCAACAGTTTGGTCCTCGGTGGGCGCTTCTCTTTTGTGTACGGCACTTGCTTGTGTTCTCTTCATTCCCTCATTGTTCTGCGTCATTTGCGCCTGTTGTTCGGTCCTCTCAATCACTGGTTTGAGTGCTGTTGTTAAAACTAGGAATTTTGTTTAGTTGGAATCGTCGGAATTTTAACGCTATGGGGAATTCAGCTGGATCCTTTGTCGATGGCCGGTACGTTTAGCTATCAATAACTATAACGACATTCAGCCCAGTGATTAAGAGAGTCTATGGGAGTTGTTAGGATTCTGATTTTGAAATAATGCATTTTCTTTTCAGCTCTTTTGATGGCTATTGGTTTCTCGGTTGATTACACAGCCCATATGTGCTATCACTATTACAAAGTAAGCTGAAAAACTTTCTTTAGTTGGTGAAATTATTCAGGCAAAACCGCTAAATGCTGTGGACAAAGTCGAGGAAGCGCTAACAACAATTGGATGGCCACTAATGCAGGTTAAAAATGAAGCCATTAAATGAATAAAAGAAGTTTCCTAGGTCGGATTGTCGACTTTGGTTGCGCTGGCTCCACTTGTTTTCAAGCAATCCTATTTGGCGATTGTTTTCCTGAAAACTATCACCGTTGTCGTGGTTCTCGGAATGTGGCATGGATTGGTTGTCTTACCCGTTATCCTTGCAGCCCTGACCAAGAAAAATGATGGTACTTGGACTAGATAACAATTTACGAACAATATTTCAGCTCCAACCCCTTCGAGTAGTGATTCGAGTGAGCGCTCCTCCCAAAGATCTCATGAACGAAAGGAGAGTATCTATAGAACCCAGGTAAATATCAAAATGCATCGAAGCATAAAAACAATTTAGGCCCTAATAAATCGATTGCACAAAGAATTCGGCAAAGGAGCAAAAGTTGGGTCGATCAATGAACCACCAGCGCTTTCACCGGAAAAAGCCTGTGAAAAACCAGCTTTTACTCATAGGATAGCTTTAGGAAGAACCAAGTAAGTCTACAAGCTTGCTTATATTTGAGCTTAAAATTTAAATCAAAACTTCAGATCATTGGAGATCATTGATCAAGCAGTCGCTCAACAACCACTTCCAACCATCAGCCGAAATTTCTAAAACTACTAAAACTTCTTTTAAATGCTTGCAATCATTGAATGGGTTATAGCAATTTCATCTAGTGTATTTGGTGTTATTTATTTCTGTGCTCGTTTCTTCTTTCTAGAGGTCAATGATCTCATGCTTTCCTTGAATTAAATCTCTGTCTGTGAAATTTGAACTGCCTTTATTATAAAAATTCCGAGGTTAACAAAACAAGGCAAAAATATTCCAAATTCCGTAGTAGAGATCACAAATTGATGAAACCGTTAAGAAAATCACCCATAAAGCGAAAAAACTATAATAATCAACAACAGTTCGACTCACAGTTAATTTAATCGGCACCATCAATGATTTCCCCTCTTCCAATGGACATTGCGGAGGAGTCGCCTCTTCAGTTAATGACACTAAATGGTAGATGATAAAGCATACAAAAATCGCCACTTTACGGCTCAAAATGTTAACAAAAATTGGTCAATGAAGATCCATCTACATAAAAACTAACCTCTATCATTAGAATCGTACGTTTTGGGCGTGTTTACTTCCGGTGAATGGCTTTGTCCCTTCACTTCAGGTTTGACCTCTTGTTCCGATTCTTCCGATTCACTACTACTCGATGCCTCTTTTCCTGAAGACAAAATATGTATATAGTAGGACATAGAAATTTTTACCTTCAAGCGCTGCCAAATCCGCTTCTTGGACATTACCTCCAGTTCTTCAGTCACTTTTTGAATAAGTTCTTCTTTCGTCCGATCCTAGGCAAAAAAATTATTTAAAGTGTGACAAAAACTTACAATCAGACAAAATGGAATCATGCTTGCGAGCTTGCCTGCATCCAAACAATTCACGGCTATCTCCGCCAAAAGATTTCGCTTGTGAAGCAAACAGTCTAGGGGAACGGTGCTATCTAAAAACAACCATTAATTTTAACATTTTCAATTCTTACCTGAATCATTTGGCTTCGGAGGGAAATCTCTGCTTCGTTTTTTAGTCGGCTTTGATGATGGAGAAGAAGCTAAAGGCAACATACATTGGATAATTTCCTTAAAAAATAGGCTTTGTTTGGATATGTTTGAAAAAGTAAAGTTGCCCCAAAATAACAGTTTACCAGGAAATCTACTTGCGAAATCACTCACATGAACTTGAAGTGCTGACACTGCTGCTGCTTGGACTCCTCTTTGAGCGCTCTCTTTTTCTCGATTTGGTCGTCTTCGATGTCTTGTGTTTCTTTCGTTTCTCGCGCTTTTGCTTTTTCTAAAATTTAAGACTTCAACATTAAATTTAAATATTACCTTAGCTACCTTCATATTTGATGTGTTTGCAATAAGGTCCAAGGGGTCTCGAAGTTGATCTGCCTAAAGCATCGCCATAATAGCGCTTGAAATAAATTTAAAAAAAATAGAAAAACGAAAGACTTTATTTCGACTTTAGGTGTAAGTTTTAACGCCGAAAATTGCTGAAAATGTACTTTAAAGCTATTTAAAGATTTAACTATTTCGAAAAATCGTTGGCATGTAGACCTTAACTCTTTAGCTGAATATCTTTAACTTGCTTCTAGTGGTTTAAAACAGTCAAGTCGAGCAATTGTTTATTTTCGAGTGCTCTAGAATTAGCCAATCTTACATTTTTACGCCTTTCTGCTTTTGTCACTGTTTCTCTTCTCTCGTGCAAAAACCACACTTTCCCCTCCATAAAGCGCCTATTTACATACCTTGCGGCGAGCTCATATCGAAAGCCAGTAAGGGTCAAAAATTAGCTCTGGCCAAAAAATCTTTGATGTATTAATGATGCTGAGAATTAGGGCTTTCAAATGGTATATAGAATACATGCTATTTTCAATAGTTTTTTCGGAAAAGAATAGATTTCCAAAAACTGATTGCCATAATTTTGGACCCCCTTAAGAATGTCTGCTAAGCCTGCCGGCCTTGGGTATACAGCACCTACTAAAAGAAACAGCTGATGGTGACGTTGAACTGCCCGAAGACGAAGAATTTCAAGGAAAAATGGTTATTCAAATCAATGGAATATGCTTTCTTTATACCAAGAAAGACTTTACCATTTTCTAATCCTGCATTAAAGAAATTTTTGCTGCTTTTTAACGAACTATCAGTGTTATTAACTAATTCATTAAAATCGTATTTAGCTTCTGGATTAGCTATAGTATCCTTTTCATAAACTTGATTATTATTTTTATCACCTCCATTAACTACATAATAAAATTTGTCAGAAATTGACACCAATTCTGTTGTCAATTTCTAATTTACCATCTATTTTTAATAAACCTATTTCCTAATTTCTATCCATAAATTCTTGTGTAAATGAGTATTCAAAACTCGTTTCATCAGAAGTTAAATGCAAAGTACAGCATGCCATTTTAAAAACTCGTCATAAAAAATTTAAACAAGTCTTGCATCACGTTACGTAAATAAAAGATAAAAATGAAATAATCTTTATTTATACCATATCAAGGATAAATTTTATTCAAATCAAAAACAATAATTCTTAGAACAAGTCACAACAAGAAGACTAATTTTAAAGAAATCACTTCATTTAGGCTGCATGCTTTATTTAAGTAGGCGAAAACTAGAATAATAAAAATGTAAAAGAATGTTTATTAGAATTAAAATAATACTTACATTTGCATCATCTGGTTCATCCCAACGAAGATCGCCAAAAAATAAGAGTCGATGAAACCATTCTCGTCTCAGGATGGTGATCAGCCAATCCTCCATCCTCAATTTTGGGATCCGACAAAGCAAAAATCCGTCTTCGCGAGTAAGCTTCCGATGAAGCGACCGCCCATATCGAAGATACCAGAACCCGAATCGCCATATCCTCCTTGCGAAGTACCAAAATAATATCCATCTAAAAATAATTGGAATTATCAAACGGAATCTTAGTAAAATATAGTTTAAAAATAATATATAATTTCTATATTATAAACAGGGCATTATTGAAGAACAGGCCCCACTGGAAGTTGAGGGCTTTCTTTTTCAGGTTTTCTTGCTTTTCTTTCTTTCCTATAAGATATATTTGAACCCTTAGAAATGGTGATTCTAAGGGGTTGTTATACACAAGAAAAGAAAACTAACGAGGAGCTATAAAGCTAAATTGTCGTGGATGAACAAGATGAAACAATGGAATGTGAACCAACAGAAGACTTCCCGAATGAATGGGACAACGATGAAGATTGGCAAGCGACTATGCCCACCACCCCAACTACCTACACCAATGGGTTGAGGATCGGCGATTGAATTGTCATGACCCAATTGGGCAAGGCACTGGAGTTCTACCCTGGGTGTACGATTAGTTTTAAATAACATTTTGTTATCTTTACCTTTTATGGCAAAAACTCACAATAAACTTGAAAAAGCAAAAATAAATAGAACGCAAATTCTGTGGTTTTGCAAAAAACCAAAAGAACAACGGGGATGGAGTCGAACCAGCGACTTTGGTCTACCAGCTAGAGTTCCTAACCACTTGGCCACCCGGCTACTCCCCCGGTGTTTGTGAGAGCTCCATTTAAAGTGTTGTGTAAATCTCCAAAAATGCTTAATTTCAATCTAAAAACTTTGAAACCTTATATTTCAGTTATTTCTAGCATTTAGCAGCTAAAAATCTCAGAAAATTCCTATTTTGTGATGCTTATTCCCCCCTATAATTTTGCGTCGATCTGAGATGGTAAGTATTAAGATCCTTCGCAAGAAATGTAGTGAAGTGATGGGTTACTAACAAGGGAAGGTCATCAGGGTTGTGTGGCCAAATGACACGAGTCATTTGGCAATATTGGCAAGCGACTATGCTCACTACTCCACTCGCACATTCTGTGGTTTTGCAAAGAAAAAATATATTTTCCGACGTAGAATTGCACGCTGAATCCGAATCTGCTTTCCGTTTTTGCTGAACGGCCCTCTGTCAAAAGTTATAAGTATGTAAAGTTTTGAATGGAATTTTAAAAATCATCCCTCGAGGTTATCAGCAGATTTCCCAGAGACAATAAAGAGCAGTGGTGGTCAAGTGGTAGTCAATTGGAATACGAGGCAAACTCTCAGTGCAATGCCCCCAACCGGCATAGTAACAATGTTAATAGTTAAAAGTAACCATTTTTATGAGAAGTAGTTCGAAAAAGATTTGTATTTGAAATGAAGAGCAACTACCTCTAAAAAAGGAAAAAAAAGTTAAACTGTGCACTCGAACTCGAACTTCAAACTACTTCTCCTTAAGAATGGTTACTTTTAACTATTAACATTGGTACTACGCCGGTTGGGGGCATTGCACTGAGGTTAGCCTCGCATTCCACCTGACTACCATTGACCACTACTGCTCTTTATTGTCTCTGGGAAATCTGCATAACCTCGAGGATGATTTTTAAAATTCCATTCAAAACTTTACATACCTATAACTTTTGACAGAGGGCCGTTCAGCAAAACGGAAAGCAGATTCGATTCAGCGTGCAATTCTACGTCGGAAACTGCTCGTGTCATTTGGCCACAAAACCCTGATGATCTTCCCTTGCAAGGAAGATCTCAATCTTCAATGGGGCCCGTTCTTCAATAATATCTATAAACATACCGCGCTTCTCTGAAATGATTCCTTCTTTCCAAACAGGTTTTCTGTTTGAATCTACTCCCAGCTGAACATACTTTTGGCCGCCATACATCGAATCAAAACTATGAGGATCATACGGAAACTCTTGATCAGTTGATTCGAAAACGAGAAAATCGTTTCTCTCGGAAACGGCACCCACAACAACCTCAAAAGCTGAGCAATTAGTTAAATATAAAAAATAAAGGTACTTTGGTGGTTGGGAGAACCTACTCGAGTCATCACTACAGCAACGACCAGTATAATTCAAAAACATACTTTTCTTTGCTATTTTTCCGAGATACATCTGCCTTTTTCCGAGCTCTGGCTCTGGCGACTTTCGTTACTAAAAGATTTGGCTTTGGCTAGCAAAAGCTTTTAATCAACTAACCTGCCAATGTAATCGTCCTCTGGAGAGCTTTCCCCGGAGCCAGATGGAGTTCCTGGAGCGGCCGGTGAGTCACTCATCTTAAACTACCTAAATGTTTCATCGTCGCAAAAGTTCTGATAACTGCTTCACACAACACCCATTTCCTTTTAATTCGCATATATAAACTTTCCATTTTATAGGTATTGCGTTTTGATTCATACACCGTGAACATAAATTAACTCAACAAATTAAACTTTATTCTTAAAAATACGGAAGAGATCAATAATAACGTTACACACTCAACAAGTTAGCAAAATGATAAATGATGAAAACTAGGCGATCAACTTTCTGAGTCTTCGGCACCTCCGATGTAGAGGATGTTGTTGCACCTAGACAAATTAAACAAATTAGAAAAAGTCACATTAATCACCTTATTAAAATTTCCCCAAGGCTCCAGTGTTTGTTCCATCAATGTATTCCTCCTGCGTTAGCCATCTAAAAAATAAAAAATTTATTTGAAAATGCCTAAGTTTACCTAAGGAAGGGTTACTCGTTATACTTTTACTCGATTGTTTACAAGCGACATAGCTAACAAAATTCAAAACGTACTGCTCCAACTAGCTTTAAGCTATACCATAAAAAAATTGACATAAACACAACTGCACCTGGACATTCATGTAGCCGTCGACCGAGATGAGGACGCCTCGATATTCCATTCCCCACTTCAATCTGCACACAACTGGCTTTCCGGCGAGCCCATTGAGGAACGGCTTTGGGTTGACTGGTTGAACAGACATTCTCTGAAGAGAAAATTAAAAACGAATTTAAGTAGATGAAATGTTAAAAAGAGCAAGCTTGACGCGGGAAGGAGTCCTCGTAAACAAAAAGAACTGTTTTTTCGGAATAATTTTTGGAAGGAAAGACAGGCATATAACTAGGCGTTTATGCGGGAGGGACAGTGTGGTTTTTGCACGAGAGAAGAGAAAGGGTGACAGAAATAGAAAGGCGTAAAATGTAAAATTAGCTAATTCAAGAGCATGCGAAAAATAAAATAATTGCTAGACTGAACTTTTTTTACACCACTAGAAGTAAGTTAAAGATATTCTGCTAAATAATTAACGTCTACATTTTTGAAATAAAATCAGAGTGCATTTTGAGAAATTTTCGGCGCTAACACCTTTTTAAAACATTTTTCATTTTGGTGATACTAGCTCAACCCCTTTCTTCATCTCATTATTTTACCACTTTTTCGTCATAAAAACATACAAGATCATTTAAGCAATTTTTCAAGAGGGCTATACTGGCTTACCCCATCCCCCACTCAAAATTTTGTCTCTTTTTTTTGGCTATTTC